CTGTGCAGGCATCCTTGTCATCTGGGATGGGGGCCCCGAAGCATCCGGAAGAGAGCAAACCAAGTGACTGGCCATCGCCTCCGAGTCTCTGCCTGTCACCCAGGCCACCCTCCCAACAGCCCCCACCCTCTCCCTCGCCAACCCCCATCTCTTGTCCTTCCCACTCCAGGTACGGAGCAGACCAAGCAGATCGTCTTCGCCCCCAGCACAGATCCGGCCTTTGTCACTGTCCCTCAGAACAGCTTTGGAGAGCCCTTTGTGCTGAACCCCAGCGTGTGGTCTCTGATGGTCGAAGCGGAGGGCATACTCCTGGTAAGGACCGGCCCCTGTGATGGTTGGAGGTGTTGACACTTGTCCAATCGCATTAAACCAGGCACTGAACTTGTCCCCTTTCTCCTCCCCACCTCCCTCTAGGACTACCTGGTTTTGCTGCCCAGCTCATACTATGAGGCTCCCATACTGCAGCTAAAGGTCACGGAGGCTTGTACCTACCGCCCAAGTCCTGAGCAAGCCAGTCGGAAGTAAGGAGCCCCACTCCCCTCTGTATCTGTGATCTGCATTACCTGGGGCCTGCCCAGCCCTCCGACCCCCAGCTGATAAGATGCCCTGTACTAACCACCCCAGAGACTGCCAGGTCTGCATTCCCACTCAGCACTGGTGGGTGAGAGACTTGGGTCAATGGGTTGCTCACGGAGCTAATGCTGGAGGCACAGCAGTTGCCCTGGAAAGGCATTTGCCCTGAGCAGTGTTAGCAAGATTTACCTGGCAGCCTGTAGTCAGCGGCTAACAGGCAGGTGTCTGTATGGCAGAGAACACCTCTGATTTTGTCTGCTGCAGCTGCAGGGGTGATGGGAGAGGTTTTCCTCTCCGGTCGTAGGCCCAGTTTCTCGAAGCGATGTCCGCAGTGCTCAGACTGTGCCCAGGGGGCTGGGCTGGGAGTGGAGAAGCTCTCCTCCTTGTTGCCTGCTCTAGGTCTCTTCCATGCTGTGGGCAACTCATGTAGGGGCCCATTCAAATGCTCCTGCTCCCCAGAAAGCAGGGATGTGATGTCTGGCAGGGCCAGCCTTTTTTGCAGGGACCAGGGTGGGACAAGGCACTGCTTAGATCCCATGGGTCTCTGCAGAATTTCTCTATTCTCTCCTCACGCTTCAGCTGCCTCTTGTACAAGTACCTGTCTGTGGATGGCTTCCCCTCTGCGTCGGGAGGAGATGCGGTGTGCAGGATAGACAACAACCTCCCCAGACCCTGCCCGGTGGAGCTCATCACCCCATCGCATCCCCACATGGTGCTGTGCAGTGGCAGTGACGTGAGTGGTGCATCCGTTTCGCCCTGGGAAGGACCAACATCCTGGGAAAATGAACACGGTGACCCTTCCCCTGAGAAACCCCGTGTGCTTTAAATGTTCTGGGCCATCTTTTCCAGAAGGCTTTTGCACTCCCCCAGTCACTGAACTGCCTGCAGAGGTGCGTGTCTGCGAGCTCAGCAGCCCCTGTCACCCAGGCAGACTGCCTTGCCCACAGCCATGGGCCTTTGTGGGCACACTCATTGCTCCGGGCTTACACCTCAGGGTGCTTGATGAGCTCGATTGCAGCCCCAGAGCTGTCTAGAGTGCATATGCACCCAGTAAGTGGGGAGGGTCCATGGCCCGTGCCTGGTGACTAAGCAGAGAAACAGCACTGGGATCCTGCGTGTTCAGCGTGGGGATACGAGGGGGGAGCAGGCTGCACAGCCATTATTTTCCCTCCTGCAGGTGGAGGTGCAGCTGCGGCTCCCGGTTCCCCAGCCGGGGAAGTACGTGGTGCTGGTGGAGTATGCCAACACGGATGGGCAGCAGACAGCCGGCGTGGCTGTGACCTCACCGCAGCAAGCCCCCCAGCAAGGAACCTCCACTTTCTACACCTGCGACTACAGGTACAAGCAGCGGGCTGAGGGAAGGGGCCTGGGAAGGTCATGCGGCATCATTCCTCCCCTACATCTTGTAAGGAGACGGGATTATTGCACATACGATATCAGCGCCTCGTTGGTGTGTCTCAAAGTGTTTGTTGTGGCGTGTGAACAGTCTTCCCCGTGATGGAGGCACCAGCATTGTCCAGCTGGGGCAATGGAGTCTGAAGCCCAGGGGTTCATCGTGTGCTGTTAGGGCAGATGCACTTGCAAACCAAAGGCTCACATGCCACATGCATGTGCACAGTGCTGAAAACTAAGACCTGAGGGAGTCCCCAGGCAAGCAAGCGTGCATGCTGGACTGGGGGTATTTATGGAGCTGCCAGGCTGAGTACCATGTCTGGGAGCTGCTCTCACATTTGACTTCAAACCATGAGCTTTGTGGTAGGAAGTGCAGGCCTGGGATATCCTTAGAAAATCCCAGTTTTGTAACTAGGCGGGGAGGGCATCAAAGGGGCCATGCCAGCTCTGTATAAATACCTTCAAGGTCGCCTCTCTGGCAGGACAAGAAATGAGCCCTGGCTCTGCCCTGCCTGGGGCCGTCCTTGAGCTTTGTTTTTATCCTGCAGTTTCCTTTGCCGAGGGATGGTCGTGGACTCTGAGAATCGCTTGGCAACTTTCGAACTAAGCAGAGAGGCGACCGTTCGATTCACCGCGGATCAAGCCCACGTCTTCCTGGTAAGGCCGTGCCATGAAGGACAGCCGAGCCATGTTTGTGAGGCCTGCGTGAGATGGGGAATGAGGTCCCAGAGTGCGCGATTTCGTGCTTGACCTAGCGGGGTTGTGGTCCTACATTAGATCCGGTGCTGGGTGGATCTCCCTGTGTTGCAAGCAATTTAATGTGGTCAGATGCTGCCTGGGAAAAGAGGTGACCAGCAAACAACACGGTGAAAGAATGTCCTTGGGACTGCCGGCTGAGGGAGGATGGGAAGGAGTTGGTGGCTGGTTGGGGCATCTCTTGTGGCTCATCTATAAACATGGCAGAGCATTTCTTCTCACCAATTCCCTCTCCCTAGCACAGGATAGTAGGATCCCAGAGTAGAGCCACAGTGTGCATTGAACAAGGGGATCCCTAGAGAGGTCAGCCTGACCGATGGGGCTAAAAGAGCAGGGCCAGGCTCCAGGTAGAAAAGGGAGCAATTTAACTCTGGGCTTCTCTTCCCTTCCTGATGCTGCAGCATAAAGTGTACCTGATCCCTCACAGACGCTTCACCATGGAGTTTGTGGAGCCGAAGGTCCACTGCATCAGCCTTCATGGGACCTTCTCGCCCAATAGGTAACCGGGGCTAGGATGTCACGGGGTTTTTACAACAGCGTGGATTCCCTCCCACCAGACCACCTGCATGACCGTCCCTCCACACTGAACGTCAGGGGAGAAATATTGCATATACTCCTTCTTTAAAAATGGAGGTGCAGAGAAGTGAAACGACCTGCTGAAGGGGAGGCCGTGAGCCAGTGGCCAGGCTGGGATGAGAAGCTACTGGGTTACACGGCCTCCTTTACAGGCGCCACCCTGGAACGGGCATCCCAGCTCGTCAGCCTAGGAAGGCTCTTGCCTCAGTTTGTGCTGTGGGTCAGCAACATGGGCTCTGTCCTCCCACGACCGGAGATCATGGGATGGCTTTGTTTCCTTCCTCTGTTGCAGTAGTTCCTGTGTCCCATCGAGGTTTCCGAAGCTCTCCCAGTCCATTGTCCTAGAGGGAGGCCAGCCTGTGCACATCCCCCTAGACCTTCCCTTGACTCACGCCTTCTCGGTTACTCCCGCCGGCCCCACAACGGAGCCTCCGCCTCGGCCGCCCACCGCCGTGGACTCGACGGCAGCGCTGCTCCTCCTGCAGCCTCCCCAGGTAGCAAATCCCCACTCTGCCTGGGCCAGGTCTTTCCTCTGGGGCGATGACATTGGTTCCTCTGAGGGTGGCCCTGTGCATGTGTGGGCCAGGCCATCACCTGGGGTATCCGACACAGCCACAGAAGTGGGGTGGGGGTGCTCTGGTAGTGCAACGTGTGTCAGCCGTGGCTTCTTTTCTCTTTGCTCCTGGGCTCTGGGCCAGACTGCCGTGGTGTTCAACACCCGGATCCAGACGCTGGGCCGCTACGCGTTCATCCTTCACTGCTACCAGCCCAACCACCCCACCTTCCCCGTGGAAGTGCTGATCAACGGCGGGCGGATTTGGCAAGGTGAGGAGAGGCTTCAGGGAACAGGCCCTTTCGATCACAGGTGGAAACTCGTAGGTTCTCCGAGGAGAAGGCAAGTGAGCTGCCTCCTCCTAACCAGGCCTGAGAAGAACATGTCTGTGGCGACAGAAGTGTGGAAATGTCCTGCATGTATCTTCTCTGGGGACTGAAGGGTCCTCTCCTCCAGCAGGGAAAGGCATCATGAGAGCAAGGAGCTGGGAATAAAAGCCAGACAAACTCAAGTTAGGAATAAGGCAAAGAATTTTAAGACTGAGGATGAGCAACTGTGGGAACAAAACACCAAGGGAGGCAGTGGACTTTCCATCTCTGGGTATCTCTGAATCAAGGCCAGATGCCTGTCTGCAAGATCTGCCTTAATCGCGCACAAACCACTGCACCCAGGGCTGGGGAAGAGGGAAGGGGTTGTGTGGGCAGACTGGATGATGTGATGGTCCCTTCTGCCTTCAAATCTGTGACCCGAGCTCCTCCCTTGGGTCTCTGTAGAAGTGGATTGCTTTCCCATTTCTGAGCCTGCTTCAGCAAAGGGGGAGCCAGGAGCGCTGGCACTTCCAATTATTGCAACGGACCCTAGAAAGGAAAAATTAAGACAAAAATATTCCAGTTCAAGTGCTTTATTGTGTACATCCAGGAGGGCACTGAGGAGCTGTCTCTCCTTTACTTACTAGAGACTTGCTTGGGCTCAATACCTTTGGGAATCAGGCCTCTTTCATGTAGACCCCTCAGCATAGGTTTGCAGTGGCCTCAGACATCAGCCCATCAGCTGGTCCAGTGAGGAACAGCTTCCTTTTCCACCACCGAGGAGCATTGACTCTACGAACTCCAGGGCAGAGGGGCAGGTTGCACAGAGCCTCCAACTCTGGAAATGGGGTTTGCATCAAGTTCCTTTCTTGAGCACGCTTCGCACAACAGGAGAGAGTGGAGGCCGTGTGACACACCACCCAGAGAGCAGCCCTTGGGAGACCCATAGCTGCTTTTATTCAGCTCCCATGGGATCTTGATTTGGACCACGAAGCCCTGAAGCTGGACCAGTGTCCGCTTGGCTTCTCCCCAAGGCTGAACCTGACACAAAAGTACCAGGGAATAGATGCTCTTGGGATAACTGCACCATGTCAGCTCCCAGCCAGCTGCCCGCAGGAGCAGGTTGAGGGTGGATGAGGACAGCTACAGAACTGATGACCCCTTTGGCTTTTCAGGTCAGGCCAATGCTACTTTCTGCCCACATGCGTATGGATGCCGGAGCCTGGTGGTTGCAGAGAACCACATTGTTCTGGACGTGACGGACAATGATCTGAGCGTGATCATCCGCGTGCCGGAGAATCGGCAGCTGTGGCTGGTACGTGTCTAGCGAGAAAGTTTCCATACCTGCAAGACCTGGTTCCAGCCACGTGCAGGCAACCGGCATGGGTTTGTACTGGTAGCACTTACTGCAGGCTGACGGCAGGGCGGGTTGTTCCACCACTTCTCGATTTCTGAACCGTCCTGCGAAACTGCAGCCCAGGTTGGAAGATTTAGCCCTTGGGTGAGAGAGCAGGGCCAGTGACAGCTCGCCACCAGGGAATGGGCACTGAGAACTAGGTTAAGATATTTTGTACGTCACTGGGTCACCAGTAGAGAGGGACGGACACTGCTGTTAATTAAAACTGCTTCAGATGGCCTCTGGTGGTCGAGCAGGAATCCCCTGCTTGCCCGGCACAGGCTGGTGTGCTCCCTGACAAGACCTTGCCCATAAAACAGCTTCTCTCAGCTGAAGATGTCTTGCCACAGAGGCAGGTAATCATCATTAACCCGATAGTTCAGGTGGAATAAACCTAGCCACAGAAAGGGCATAAGATTTACCAGAGGCCACAAAATAAGTCCGTGGCAGAGCTGGGCATAGATCCTGACTCAAAGTCACAACCGTGCTGCTCTTGAGGGGGCTTTTTACCTTCCTCAGTCACATCAGACATTGGCTGCTGCCGGAGTTGGCTGGAATGGGCCAGTTGTCTTTGCAAAATCAGAGCATGTTGCAGTGTTTCATGATATATCCCAGCTGGCAATGGGCTGTGGGAGGGTGATGCTTTGCAAACCATTGTTTGGGTGACTGCACGACATGCTGGGCTGCTGGGTTCGTTTGTGCTTGCCTGCGGCTGAACTCAGTCCCTTCAGATAGAAACCATTGACCTGAAGGGGACTGAGGGTTTGCATTTGCCTTGCTGCAGGACTACATCCTGGTGGTGCCCGAAGACGGCTACAGCTCGCAGTACCTGCAGGAGGAGCCCCTGGACAAGTCCTATGATTTTATCAGCACTTGTGGAGTCAACGGTTTTTATATCAAGTGAGACTCCCGGTGTTAAAGTGTCTCTGCTCTTCTACACGGGCTTTTCCTTCTTGAGGAAGCAGGCGCAGCAGGGTGCAGGGCGTTCCTAGAGAGCCCTGCGGGCTGGGGAGGTGCAATGGTCTGTTTTACTCACTTCCTTCCCCTTGGCCGGATTCAGTGCAATGAAAAAGTCTGTCGAGCTTGTCGGGCACGGGTGGGTTTTTTTCTGCTCTGACTCGTGCTGATTTGGGATGCTCAGGCTCCAGGGATCCTGTGGGAAATTTGCCTTGATTCACAGCTGTGTGTGGGATGGGTTAATCAGGGGTGGCACAGTGTCTCCAGGGGCATCTGCTTCCCTTCGTGTCCTGCAAAGGACTTAGGTGATGTCATTGGTGGCTGCGGATGTACAGCTGGCTTTTTTTGTACCTGATGAGTAGGTTTTGGTGGGGGTGATGGTTGCCTGTGCTGGAGACCCCTCACCTAAGACCCCCTTGGCGGGCCAAAGCCTGGGCAGGACCCCTGCACTAGGGCGCTGTGGCTGGGGGCCCTGCTCAGTGACCTGCCTCCGCTTCCCTTGCAGTCCCGCCACATCGCCCAGGTTCTGCAGGGACTCAGCCATCTCCCTCTCCCTCTTCTACAACAACGGTGCTCAGCCCTGCCGCTGCCACGAGGTGGGAGCCATCAGCCGCCAGTGCGAGCCCTTCGGGGGTCAGTGCACTTGCAGATCCAACGTCATCGGGCGAGAGTGCTCCCGCTGCGCCACTGGCTACTGGGGCTTCCCCAACTGCAGGCGTGAGTTGCCTTCCCCGGGACCGCTCGGGACTGAGTGCTTTGAGGCCGGCTGGGGGCAAGTTGCCTGGTCTGTAGGATAGCTGCGTTGCATAGTGCTGGTTTTGACTTCCCTCCAACATCTGTACTGAGATGAGAGGGTTAACGCCCAGGGAAGGTCCTAGCCCTTTTGCCAAGCTCCGGGACCCTGCACTTAATACAACACTGTCTGACAAGCAGTCTCCTCCTTCCCTCAAAGGGTTTCTAGGGCAAAATGTATTTGCCAAGTAGTTAAAGACTCCCCTTCCCCAGAAAACCTGCTCTTGCCGGTCCCAATGGGTAGATTAGCCAGGTTTCAGCATGGTGAAGGCCAATATTTTGTATGTGCAAAATCAGAGCCCAGGCTGGCAGACTTGACTCGAATTCCCTGCTCTTCTCTGGGGAGTGTTTCCATAAAGGAAATGCAAACTCTTCGGTCTCTTCTCTGCGTTTCACTCAGCCCATTCCCCTCTAGCAGCATCAGGACGTGTGTGGCTGGAAGATCATCCCCCTCTCTGGTGCCCTGTGCAGTCATGGGCTGCAGTGTCACTGCTGGTACCAGCCCAGCGCTCCCTTCTGCTCCAGAGCAGAGAAACTCAGCAAAAGAGCAGCTCCTGCCGCCACACAGCCCTCTCTTTCCTGCTCTCTCCCAGTGGATTTACTGTCTGGAAAAAGCATAATCCTACCATTAGCTTGGATGGATCTCTCTACTACTCCAATCCCAAACTCCCATTACTGTGTGATTTACAAGCGCAGAGGAGCCCTTCCTCTTACCCCCAGACTCTGGTCGCTGCCTTGGTTGTAGTGCTTGACTAGCACCTGAACAGGAAATGCCCAGGTGCTGGTCCAAGGCTGGTTGCAGCGAGCTGTGGGGACACAGGCGCGGAGAGGGGGAGAGCACAGGCTGCCCGGGAACGGTGCAGCCCGGTCACTGCGCCGTATCTCACTGCTCCCCCGATGAATGCCTCTGCCTCCTTCCCCTTCCAGCCTGTGACTGTGGGCTCCGCCTATGCAACGAAGTGACCGGGCAGTGCATCTGCCCCCCCCACACCATAAAGCCAGAATGCGTGGTCTGCGAGCCCCAGACCTTCGGCTGCCACCCCCTTGTTGGCTGCGAGGACTGCAATTGCTCTCGCCCTGGGGTTCAAGAGCTGACAGAGCCAGGCTGCGACGTGGACAGTGGCCAGTGCAGGTGAGGACCAGGATCGGGGCCTTAGTCTCATAGAAAGTATGTAATGGGGCAGCACTTGGATCAGTGGCTCAGTGAGGCAGCTGGGAAGGGTGGGAAGCGTTCGTTGTTGGGATCAGTGTTGCATCCCAGCCTTACAGCTCGACAAAGCTACTTCATGAGTGTCGTAGCTCCGTAGAGAAAGAGGAGGAAGTGCTCATTCCTGCTGCTGTGTCCTATCTAGGTGCAAACCCAATGTAATAGGGCGGCAGTGCAACCTCTGCGCCCCTGGCTACTACCACTTCCCAGACTGCAGGAGCTGCAGTTGTCACCCAGCAGGGACGGAGGCCAGCATGTGCGATCCAGTCACTGGGCAGTGCCACTGCAAGGTCAGTCCAGCGAGGCTTGTCTGCTCTGCTGAACTCCCCTGCCCCAATGGCGTGACTTGTTCGGGAGGGCTGGCATGGAAGGGGTGGGCAGCTTATGGCTGCGGGCAAGGCTGGGGGTGCTGTTTCATGGTTTCCTAGTAGTTTGGGGTCAGGAGGGACCTGAACAGATCATCTAGTCTGACCCCCAGGCAGGTGTTCATCCAACCACTCTTGAGGGCTGCTGTACCTGCAGCCAGCCTGCCTGCTCCCACAGACACTGCAGGAGGAACCCAACAGGCCCACAGTTTGCTTCTTTTCCAGGAAAACGTGGAAGGCCCAAGGTGTGACCAGTGCCGCTTGGGGACCTTCTTGCTGGATGCAGACAACCCCAAGGGATGCACCAAGTGTTTCTGCTTCGGGGCGACTGATCGCTGCCACAGTGCTGAGAAATACCGAGTAGAGGTGACTAGGGGCTGGGCTGGGGGATCCTTTCTGCTCTGTCCTGTGGGGTTCTCCTTCTCCAGGACCCCAGGCCCTGTCTCCAAAGCTTGTGTCCTTCTTGTGTTCTGCACTAGCTGAATGCAGCTATGCAGCAGGAAGGGGTGGTGGGTAGCCTAGCTCTTGTCGTGCCCTCAGCTGTTGAGCCCTGGCATCCTTTGCATTGGGGGTTGTGGTGGATCTCAGGAAGTTCCTTGGGCATGCCGGTGGTGCAGGAGTCATAGGGGCTGTTCTGAGGCTGCAAATCAGCCTCAAATCAGTGACTTGAGCAAATCAGCTTCAGTACAAGATCAGGAATAGATGGGATTTCTCCAAGGAGCCGGCACCCAGAGCTCCTCCTGCCCAGGGGACCCAGGCTGGACCCGTCTCACAGTTCTGCCCCCTTTTCTCCTAGTTCTCTGACATGAACGGCTGGCGTCTGCTCAGCAGCGACCGCCAAGAAGTGGGCACCTCTCTGAGATCAGAAGAAGACCTGGTACACGCCGATCTCAAGTACCTTCTTGAGGTCTACCAGGAGCTCTACTGGCAGGCACCCAGCTCCTACCTTGGGGACCGGGTAAGAAAGCATATTCCTGACCCAGCCTTGCTGCCTGGCGCCCTCGCGTTGGCTGAGGTGGCAGGGTGCAGGCAGCCCTGCTCCCCTTGTCATCCTGCCCCCCTCAGTTTGGTGTCACTCTGACCACCAGGCACATCAGCTGGCTGAGTTTCAGTAACATATCACGCCTTGCCTGTACTCTTCGGCTCTTTCCCCAGGTCTCCTCCTATGGAGGGCACCTGCGTTACGAGCTCCATTCAGATGCCAGACGGGGTGACGTGTTCATTCCCATGGAGTCCCGCCCGGATGTCATCCTGAAGGTACACCTGGTGAAGCCCCGTCTGCTTTGTGCGATGGTTTCTACAGCATAACTGGGGCTTCCAGACTGACAGGACACCTCTTTGCTTTCCCCAGGGAAACCAAATGAGCATTATGTTTCGGGAAGACTCTTACCCACCCCCTGGAGATGTGCACAGAAGGCAGCTGCAGCTGGTAGAGGTGAGTTGATGCACACAGGTACGTGCAGCTAGGGCTCCCATGGATTGGGGGTTTGCATTGGACCAGACCTTCCCCTCTGCCAACGGTGGTGTGTGCTGGGCATCATGTGGCCACTGCCCAGCACCCAAGAGGAGCCGCTTGTGACAGGAGCTGTCCCTGTGTGGTTCCTGTGGGAGATGGGAAATCACTACCTTGGAAGCTGGCTTCCAGTGGGGTGCAGGGAGACAAAAGTGCTGCAAGTTTTCAGTTCTGATTTTTTCAGTGCAAGGAGAAGCATCCGAGCAGCTGTTTATGAAGACCCAGGCTCTATCCAGCGTTGCCTGCATGGCCTCCCAGGGTTTAGTGGGTCCTCAGACTGCTTGCCCAGTTGATTAGCCTTTTGGCAAGGGACAGAATCAGAAATTGCAGGCTTGCCCTTTAGTGCAGGCTAATGCCAGAGCTTCCCTCTTCTCACTAGGGTAACTTCAGACACACAGAGACACACAACCCAGTGTCCAGGGAGGAGCTCATGATGGTGCTGGCCAGTCTAGAGCAGCTCCAGATCCGAGCACTCTTCTCCCAAATCTCCTCGTCCATCTTCCTGCAGCGGGTCATCTTGGAGACTGTCACGGACTCTGCTGTGGGCATTCGAGCCAGCAACGTGGAGCTGTGCTTGTGTCCGGCCAATTACAGGGGAGATTCCTGCCAGGTAGGTTGAAGAGGTGAAGTCCTGTCTCCAGCTTAAGGGAGGAGTTTGTAGGCACTCTGCTCAGACGATGTAACCGAGGGCCTAGGACTTCACTTGCTGGCAATGCTGCACCTAGCAGATAGGGTGGGACATGCCTCATTGTGGGATAGGACACCAGGAAGAGTCCAAAGCCAACCCTGATGGGCTAATCTCTACAACTTGAGCTGCCTCTGGTGGTGTTGGAACAGTTCCCTATGCTCGTGGTAAACCATGTTGCACATGCGCCCCATCTCTCACCCCCATATGCATGTTCAGCCTTGTTTGCTGTGAACCTTGCCTTATCATCAGTATAGTGGAGGACCCTCTGGTCGATCTATCAACCCTGCCTACATGTGTCTGGGCTATGTTTCACATCGTCACCGCCCTCTCTGTCTCTAGGAATGTGCTCCAGGCTATTACCGGGACACCAAGGGTCTCTTCTTGGGGAAATGCGTTCCATGCCATTGCAATGGCCACTCCGATCAGTGTCTCCCAGGGTCTGGGATCTGCATCGTAAGTAGATTGCCTGTGAACTGAAGCTCTAATGCAGCTGGCTAAATGGTTCTTTCCAGTACGACACAACCAGGAGGTGGCAGAACAGGTTATAGTCTGGATTTACAGAAATCCATGCGATTTATTGTCTTCAAGGCAGTTTATGTTGAAATGCAGCTCTGCTGGGAGTGGGGTCCAGGACCCAGCTCTCTAGTGGAGTCACTTCTCATCCTCACTGCCAGAGCCCCAACACCCTCCTTGTCTGGAGGATGTGAAGCTCCAGAAACTCATCCCGTCGCACGCTCTCTTGGAGGACTCTGACTGTGCCTGGGCATCTTGTCGTTGCAGAACTGCCAGCACAACACGGAGGGCAACCGCTGCGAGCGGTGCAAGGATGGCTACGTGGACAGCTACTCCCCAGAGGGGCTGCTGCAGTGCGTGGGGTGCCCGTGTCCTCTCTCAGTGGCTTCCAACAAGTAAGCAGCTCCCATGAAGCCCCCTCTCCTGCTTTTCCTTCCCCAGGGTGCTCTGACTTTCTCCCTGGGCCTGAGGGAGCTGCTTTTGTGCAATCCTCCTTAGTAGCTTCTCATGGGAAGAGGACGTTACACCCTTCCTATTAATGCTTGTCAAGATGGGGTTGGAGAAAGGCCAGTGGGTTTTCTGCCTGCAGGCGGGAGTCATCCTCTCAAGGGGCATGGACATAATCCTGGTGACGTTTAAGCCCCAGTCTGTACTGCAGGGGTGGGAGGAACCGCCTGTTTCCAGGTGCTGCTCCTCGGAGCAGGGGAGGTGACGTTTCCCCTCTGTCTGTCCCTTGTTCCAGTTTTGCCGTTGGGTGCATCCGCAAGGGCTCCACCATGCAGTGCCTGTGCAAGACCGGCTACACTGGAGCCATGTGCGAACGGTAAGGCCTGCCTCGCCTGGCACTCCTGGGCTGCCTTTTCTGGGGGCAGAAGGAGGTTCCCACAGCCTCCAAGAGAACAGAGGGGCTGGAGAGGGGGTGGCTTGCTCTGATCCATCAAACGTATGGCTTCGCTTTGGCTCTTGTGCGCTAGGCCAGGCTGCAGCTCCCTGCTCCCAGAGGTAGGGTCGCAAGGTGGTTCAGGATCAGCTGCGACTGGGTATCAATGAGTCCCCATGGGCTTAACGTGGCTGGCCAGTCTGTGCCTCCATCACCGAGGTGCCATGTCACTGCAAACGGGGCACGGAGCCCTTCTTCACCTCGGCTGCCCGTCTCTGACCCGGCGATAACGACCCTCCCTGGGGCAGCGGGAGCCCCAGCGAGGAGCCCCGCGATGGGGGTGGCGGGGAAGGGATGCTCCCTCTCAACGCACTGTGCTTCTGCAGATGTGCCCCGGGTTACTATGGCAATCCCCTGGTGATCGGCAGCTTCTGCCAGCCCTGCGATTGCAGCGGGAACACGGACCCCAACATGCTGTTCAGCGACTGCGACCCGCTGACCGGCGCCTGCTCCGGCTGCATGCACCACACAGCGGGGCCACGCTGCGAGCTGTGCGCCCCGGGCTACCACGGCGATGCGGTGGGGGCCAAGAACTGCACATGTGAGTGTCGCACAGGGCAGGGACCCAGCCACATGGGTCCAGCATTTGCGGGGCAGGGGCTGTCACTGCATCTGGGTGCCTGGGGGTGTTACCCAGCTGCTCCTCCCCGAGCTGACAGCCTGGCCTGGCTCCAGTGGTTAAAGTAAAGATATCCCATTTATTGACGATTGAGGCCCATGGAAGCAGGGCTTCGCTGTTTCTTTAATCTTGGTTTGAGGAGGAGGTGATGTGGTCAGCACCCTGCTATGGCCATCTTGACCCCAGGGCAGTTCCCGGTACCCACTGGATGGGAGGCTGGGTGGGAGGTGGAAACCCACTGCTCCTACTGGGGGTCAAACCCAGGTCCTTCCAGTCCATAGCCAGTCCCCCTACTGATGCCCCCCTTTCTCCAGCATGCAAACTCTGCTTTGTGCAGTGTTTGAAAAGTGTCAACTGGCAGCAGAGCACTTGTCACACAGGGGTCACGCAGGCAATAGCACGTGCCACCCAGCTGGTGACAGCTCCTCCAGGAGCTTGAGTTTGCAGTGTGTATTGATGCTGCTGGAGGTCACAGCCCCACCAAATAGCAGGAAAGTGTAATGGAGAGAGGTGGCCTCCAACAGCTTGTCGCTCCAGAGAAGAGAGCACATCTTTCTTGTTTCATCCAGCTGTGGGGGGCATGGGGACCTACCTCTCAGATCACATCAAACCCACTGGAGCCGCTCACCTGTGTCATTTGTCTTACAAACGGGCGTCATTTCCCCTGACAGTGTGCAACTGTTCGCCTTGCGGGACCGAGTCGTGCGACCCCCGAACGGGCCGGTGCCTCTGTAAAGCGGGAGTGACAGGTCAGCACTGCGACCACTGTCAGGTAAAACCAATCGCTGGGTCCCCCCGCGCGCCATGAAGGCTGCGGTGGTCGCTGTGCGCTCTGGGTGGGCTTTCCAGCACGGGTTATGGGTCGTGCCGGGCTCACTCTGCCCTTGCTCCCCTTCCAGCTGTCCTGTGCTACAGGACCCATGCGGTCCCGGGGCAGAGACAGGGTGACAATGGCTGCTGAGCTGGCTGGATGGCTGAGTGGTGGGTTCCTGTATGTGCCTGCAGGTACCTGGTATATGCAGGCTCCGGGTAGCTCAGTGATAGCGCATCAGGCTTGCAGTCCCAGTGTGGATGGTTCAGTCCTCAGAGAACAGATGACATTGGCCAGGGACCGTCTAGGAGTATTCATGTGCGGGGTGGAGCAGATGACGCCCGCGGTCTTGTCTAACCCTAGCACTCCCCTAGGTGTTGGTCTGTTGCACGAGGATGGAGACTTGGTGTGGGTTTAACTGCAGCTTTGAAGGCTTAAGTTGCCACTCTAGGGTGAGCTCTGGTGATCCTAGTCCCCCCACAAGCCTTGCGGCCAGAGGTGAGCAGAGAAGTTCACCAAATCGGAGCATCCTTCCCATCGCTTTGGCTGTCACGTTTTAATTCCAAGCCAGGAGAAATGCTTGGAAAACAGAGCTGAGACTCGGGCTCCCCTTGGCCACCGTGAGCATAAAGTGAAAGGAGGCTGGAGGCTGAAAAGCTGGCGTGTCCTCCCACCGCCTCCCATGTAGGGAGCTTACTGCAGGGAGCTTACTGCTCTGGCTTTCCCTAGGAGGGGTACTATGGCTACGACAGCTGCTCGGGCTGCCGGAGATGCGACTGCGACGTCGGGTCCCTGGGAGCGAGCTGCCACACGCAGACCGGTCAGTGCAGCTGCCAGCCCGGGGTCAACGGGGCCCGTTGCCACCAATGCGCACCTGGTTACTGGGGCCTGGGCGAGAATGGCTGCACAAGTGAGTGTCTTTGTCTCCTGCGCCCGCGTCTCCTAGGAGGGACATCTGAGTGCCCCAGGGCTGCCTCTCCGGCTCTGCTGCAGTGCCAAAGTACCCGCTTCCCGCTCCTTGAAAGCCAGGGGCCGTGGGGGTCTTCCACGGCAGTGCTGGGATGCATCCAGGCTGTGAGAGCAGGGCATCACTCCAGACTATGCAGAGACATTCGGTCTGTTGTAATTTAACTTCAGGCCTAGCAGTAGGCACTGCAGGCACAGATCAGCCCCCACGGTGCATGTGCATGGCTCCTTGGAGCTCCCGTCCATCCGCACATGCAGTTTATCCTATTGCAAGACCAGAGCAAGTCCTAGCCCCAGTGGCTCAGTAAGGCTCTTTGCGCATACAGCCGCCATGTGCAGAGGTAGGCAAGTCCCAGAGCATTTGCCAGTCCTTCAGCCCATGTCCCAGAGCCTTTTTTGGGCATTAGGCTTCAATAGCCAAATGACTGAACTCATGATGGCTTGCCGTGCAGGAGGGCTGCCATGCTGCAGTGGGGTCCTGCCGTTTCCCCCACAGGGACCCCATGAGGGCAGGGTGGGATCGTGGGATCAGGGCCCTCGGCAGAGCTACTGCAGCCTCCTCTTTTCTCCTGGCAGAGTGTCAGTGCAAAGGGGGGGCCTGCGACCCCCGGACGGGGGAGTGCACGTGCCCGAGCGGCCTGACAGGGAAGCAGTGCGACACCTGCATACAGCAGTACGAAATCCCTGTAGCCAGCGACCCAGACAGCGTGCAGTGTGAAGGTCAGTAGCATCTTTCTGCCCTGCCCTGGGGAAGGGAGCGTGGGGGGGACCAGGCGACCTTTTCAGTGCGAGCCTCTTCCAGCTCTCCCTGTTTGCCCCTCTCCTCCCTGGAAAATTCCTGGGTTTTTTGGTATAACTTCAACAGTGACAAAGCTTGGTCCAGACGGGAAACAAAGCCCGGGTGCCTCAGAGGAGACGGGCTCCAGTGGCTTTGTGCTCACGTGACAGAGGGGCACCACCCGTGATAGGATGCAAGATCTCAGCCTTGTCCCCCTAGTACAGGGGCACCTGAAAGGAGCACGAATATGGGGAGCACCCGTGGTTTTGGCTGCCCTAGAGCAGCTAGCAGAAGGATGGGGGAGACCCACCGTGGGCTGGGCTTGATGTTGATCTCAGCACTGGGGTCATTTTATTGGCCTCACACATGGGTCTTACAGGGGAGAAGCTGCGGTGAGACCCAAACCAGGCCTGCTGTCCTGACTTCTCTCATCAAGCCCATCCCTTATAGCGTTACCATTAGGAGTCTGGCTAAGCGTTTGCCCCACATAGCGTTGACAACCTCCCAACCCATTCCTACCTGGACAAGCACTCGGAAATCCTGATCCTTCCTGACCAAGGAACAAACGTGACTGAGGACCCCCCCATTCACACCCACCCCAGAGGGGCAATCTGGCTCAGCGCCCAGGTTTGGGGGATAGGGGCTCCTCCTTAGCTTTATAGCACCGTGTCCTCACTGTGGTCATGGGAAAACGGGAGATGGAGGGAGTTGCCATCATACAAGATGACACATGGCGCATCAATGTCCTTACCTCGCCATTTCTCTGCATGGGCAGTCTGCGACACCTGCGTGCTTCTCCTTCTGGAAGACCTCCACAAGATCGAGGCCTCCTTCCCCACCATCAGGAATCAGCTGATTAACCTGAACGCCAGCTCCATCGCTTGGGCCCGGCTGCACGGGCTGAGGAACACCATGGAGACCCTCGCGGTATGTGAAGCCGTCGACACGGTCTTCGGGCTGCCCCTGCCTTTCTCGGGGCTTTTGGTCCTGTCTGTCTGATCGCCGGCCCCGTGCCTCTCTTTCAGAACCACCTGCGCGAGCACCAGAGATCCCAGAGCGGGGTCCGACAACGGGCCGAGGAGCTGGGGGAAGAGAACGGGGACCTCACTCAGGACCTGAACGCGCTACAGCACAAGGCAAGCTCAGTCCCCGTCCCCTGCTGATAGCACTGCACACGTGGGCTCTTCTCCCCGCTCCCCCCTGCCGGGTCAGCGTCCCATGCAGGACTCCATCCTGGCCCCGTCAGAGCCACGAGATCCCCTCTCTGTCCTAGGAGCTGGAAGCCCACTCCCTGACTACCCTGTTTCTGCTCGAGTGCTTCTGTTTCTAAAGGAACTTGCAGCCTCTCATTGATCTGTATTTGCTTTTCAAGCTGCTCTCACCCTAACCAGTTGAAATAAAGCTTATCAAGCGTCATTTTACAGAGCAAGCCTGTGGGGAGACAACAGAAACAAACGTGTATCCCCTCGAGGACGGACTGTGCTTTGTCTGGAAGGGGTCCTGACCCCGCCAGCAAATTATCTTTCTGTTTGTCTTGTAGAAACCCTCTGAGGCTTCGCTCAGAGATAAAGACCCTGTTGTGTGTGTGTGTGGGGCGGGGGGGGTGTTTCTGCTAGAGTCTGTGTCCGAATCAAATAAAGAACAGTCTATGCCCCAAAGACCTGACCATCTAAGCAAGAGTCAGGGCCCATTTCTTAAACCAAGTGGCATGCAGGAACGTCTGTGCAATTGCACATGGGCAATGCACGCTTTAAGTAACTGTGTGCAAAACAATCCCCTGTGCCTGTCCGGCATGATGTAGCTGTGCATTTATGTACGTGCACACACAAACGCCAAGTAGCTGGCAGCTGCCCTATTTTCTGAATAGCTGGGTTCTTTCAGCCCTGGATGGCAGCCTTTGCTGTGGTATTAATTAGCATAGACCATTTCTGGCGACCGTGATCTTGAGATCTTTTGAACACGATTTCTCACTGACATCTATGCCACCCATGAAGCTAAATCATAGCAGGGTGCAGCATGCATGAAAACCCCTGCAGGAAACACAACTGTTCCAGTTAGCTGATCTCAAAAGCTGCCCGTTCCCACATCCCCTTCCAGGTCTGTCTTTCCCCACATCTTGGGTCAGATCGGGTCTAATTGAAAGCTTCAAGTAAAGCAGCGTTTTATTTTAGGTGACCATGACGCACAGGGAAGCAAACTTTCTGGACGAGCGCACAAAAAACACCTACCAGCGAGTGGAGCAGCTCTTGGTGAATATTCAAAGCATTCAAAACAGCATTCAGGGTAAGTGAGAAAGTTATCACCAGCTTGGCTTTTCCCTGCCCCATGTACCATGCTCTCGCTGGATTGAGGGGGAATTCAAAAGTAGCGTCAGTGGAGAGTCCTATAGACTTCAAGTTCTTTGGATAAAGGGCAAGGGACGGAGAATGAATCCTAGTAGCCAGTGAATCCTAGCTGGTGTTTTATGGAAGAGGGGAGGCTTGTTCAAGGGTCGGGAGATAGAAACATAACTGGCTTTTGTAGCTGAAGCCAGCAGGTCACCGCGGTCGCTTCCTCTGCAGAGCTGGGGCACCAGATGGACATGTTTGGGACGGGCAACGTCAGCGCCACGTCTGCAGAGGAGTTCCGGCAGAAGATGGCCGAGGTGGAGAGGATGTTGAAGGAGATGAGGGAGCGGGATTTCAGCAGCCAGCGAGGGCTGGCAGAGAACGAGCAGGAGGAGGCACGGAAATGTAAGTGGAGCTCAGCTGGCACAGAGCATCCTTGCAAATGCTGTTCTCTGGGCAGCCCCTTTCAGTATCGCCTCCACATCGTCCCCTCGCGTGGGAGAGCTGTCCTGTTCAGTTGAGCAGGCCTGGTTAGCTTTTGTTGCCAGTTCCTTGGCTGAGAGATTGGAGCACGGCAGAAGGACGTTAATTTATAATAGTTCCGTTTTCTTCTCTTCTGCAAGTCGGAGCTGTTCAGAAGTGCCAGCAATTGGCCTTCACTGGGAATCCAGACAGATTTTTAGCTCCTCTGTCCAAGCAAGTTCCTGGATTGTCAGGACTCAGGTTTCAAAAAATAAATGGCATTTTAACTTGAATAGCGTAACACTTCTGCATGACGGCAGGAAATGACCACGTTCGCTCGTTTTCCTCTCGCTCGTCTGTCTCCGTGTTCCCCGTTCAGTCAGGTCGGCCAGAACGGCAGCATCAGAAACATGCCGCTCCCTGCTGGGACACGCGTGGTGCTTGCGGATGCCCGGGGCTTTTTGCGTTGGAGCGGGCTGCCCTGTGCAAACAAGACTCTCGCAGGCACTGGGAGTCACGTTCTGCTGTCCCCTGGGGTGACCCAGATGCACATTAGGGTAACTGTGGGAAGAGATTTCTGATAGCAAATGGCTCTTTAATGGAAAACAGCGTACATACAGCATTCCTGCTGGAAGCAGGAAGTTGGAACTAGATCAACTTGGACTAGATTTATAGTGCTGCTTTTTTTTTTCAGCAGGGAGGGTAGCAGCTCCCCTGCATTGTCGTGGTTTGTGGTGGATTCTCTACCACTTAGTCTTTAAATCGTATCAGGGCATCTTTCTAAAAAGCACGGTCACCCGAACCTCTTGAGAAACCGCAGGTAGCAGCATCCTGGGAGTTATTATACACACTAACACTGGATGCATAATGTCACCTCCCACTGAGCTGAACAGTTCACACAATAAATACAGGACAACTTGAAAGGGACCAACAATTACACATTTAGTAAAACAAGATTGCTTTGGGATAATGCAGGGGTTGGATGATGTAGATCAGGCAGAGGGTAGGAGCTATGTGCAGAAGCTGCTGGGTGAGGGTCTACGATCTGTGTTATGTCGGCCTCGGACTAGGTAACTTGGGTCCTTACGCAGATCATAATCAGGCCAGGAGCCCTCTGAGCCATGCAAAAGATGTCACGATCCTAGAGAAATGAGAATTTAAAACCAAGTTCCTCCACCCTCAGTGCTGCATCGTGTGAAGAACGAGTTGCATAGCAAATGGGAGGCCAATCAAGCCCTGGTGAACAACATCAGAGACCGACTGGCTCAGTACAGCTCCGAGCTCATGGATCTCCGGGACGCTCTCAATGAGGCCGTGAATAAAACGAGGCAGGCGGAGGACTTGAACAGCCTGAATCGGAACAACATGGAGGAGAACCAGGTACCTGGAGGGTTTCCTTTGAACACAGAAGCACAAAGCTCTGGGTCTTGTATGACTGGGGATATGTCTGTTCCTAACTCCTTGCAACGTGTGTGTGTCTAGCGAAAGAAAAAGGAGCTGCAGAAGCAGCTCGGGCTGGTTCAGGACACTCTGCGCATGGCCGAGGACTCTCTGGCCCAGGTCTCAGACCTCCTGCAGATGATTGAGCGTGCCAAGGAGGTGAGTGGCTCAGAAGCCGCAGGGGAGAGTGGGATGGTCTGGGGCAGGCTGCTGGTAGCCCGGGGCACAAGGCAGGACTGATGGAGGAGGGAGACATGGGGTGTGATGGGGCTGGCGCTGGGAGAGAGAACTAGGGAATAGGGGGCATCAGTGGGGGTGCAGCAATGGCAGATCAGTGTCCTACCCCCCTGCAAGGTGTCTCCCACCGTCGGGTGTATATGCAGCAGCGAGGGGGATGAACACCCTGACGGGGGGCTGTGTGTCCCGGCAGGATTATGAGAAGCTGGCGGCCCTGCTGGACGGCGCCAAGCATCCCCTGACCGAGCGGGTGAAGAAGTTTTCTCCTGCCAGCAGCAAGATCCCAGTGGTCGAGGCCGCCGAGGAACATGCCCGGGTCTTGGATGAGCTGGCCCGCAATCTGTCCAGGTAGTCTTGCCAATTGGTGAAGGCCTGGGGGCTTCGCTACAGCAAACGCAATTCACTGATCTACGCTGAGCCGCTGCTGGTAGCAGCAAGGTCCTTCCGCAGCCAACAGAGGCAGGGTTCAGGTCCAGGACCCTGGTGCCCCACACCCCTTCCTCCTCCAAGAGCTGCAGACAGTGGCAAGAAGCCAGCATGGTTTGGGTGCTGCGGGCCCCCAGACATGAGGGTGGGGCAGGGCGTGTGGCTTCGTGGGCCAAGACAAACAGTAAAAGGCAGCTGTTCAGACTGCCGCCGAGGATCCTGGAATGGGGGCTCTGTCCCAGTGAGGGGCTGGGGCCAGGGGCCTGTAGTCTTGGACAGGCACTGCCTGCCCTTGATGCCCTGCAGGGCTTCTCGGCTTCATCCCTTTGCCTTGAAATGCAGCATCATCCAGAGCACAAACCAGGATGGGTTTATCCAGCGGGCGATCGATGCTTCCAATGCATATGCCAGCATCATCGAGGCTGTAAAGAAAGCGGAGACAGCAGCTGCAGACGCCGCCAGTGCTGCCAGTGAGGCTCTCATGGTGCGCAGCTGCCTAGCTTGGTAGACCCCCACCTTCCCCAGGCACTCACAACCCGTCCCCCACTTGGCTTGTTTGGATCGGGCACGTCACCACCTATTCTGCAATTCCCCCAAGCTTCAGCTTCAACTCCCACTTCCGTCTCAGGGCGCAGTGCTTTGCAAATGCAAATGTCCCAAGTCTGCCATCTCTCCACTGTTCCCTCTCCCCGTGTCCCACCCCATGCACACTGGAGGGGCTAATGCTTTCCCACCAGCATGGCCTCCTTGCCTAGCATTTAACCATGCAGATCAAGAACTGGGGTCTGGGTGTCCTCTTCCAAGCTTGGGCCTCAGGCCTGCACTCGTACTGCATCCCAGGCAGGGAATAAGGCATCCTTGTGTTTGCAGGGTGTTGTGTCGGGCAATCTTGCTGCCATAGCAAAAGAGCTGAAGAGGAATAGCAGCGCCCTCGAGGAAGCTGTGAGGCAGGAGCAGAGGAAGCTCAGTGGACGTAAGGGCAGTTCCAGCCATGGAAATGGCTCTGCCAAGCGTTTGCATGTTTGGTGGGAGAAGGGCATGGCAGGGCATCAGCTTTTGAGTGGAGGTAGCTCAAACCCCTGGGATGGCAGAGGCAAATATGTGTGTACTTCATTCCAGCTATTAAAGGGACGCTGCAGGCTGCCAGGGAGAAGGTGACCAACCTGCGAGCGCGGAAGGACCAGCTCCTGACCCGGCTGCGAGCTGTACAGGACGTGCTGAAGGTGGACCAAGGTTTGTTCATAGATTCATAGATGTCTGGGTTAGAAGGGACCTCAGAGGACGATTGAGTCTGACCCCCTGCCCTGGGCAGGAAAGAGCGCTGGGGTCAGACAGCCCCATCCAGGTGTATGTGCAGCCTCCTCTTAAAGACCCCCAAGGTAGGGGCAAGGACCACCTCCCTTGGAAGCCCATCCCAGATTTCGGCAACCCTTACCGTAACGAAGTTCTTCCTGATGTGTAACCTAAATCTGCTCGACCGTCAGTTTGTGGCCATTGTTCCCAGTTACTCCAAGGGCTGCCCTGGTAAACAGAGCATCTCCTATTCCTTGTTTCCCCCCTCAATTAATTTGTAGGTGGCCACAAGATCACCTCTCGGCCTTCTCTTGCAGAGGCTGAAGAGATCCAGGCCCTCAATCTGTCCTCATAGGGTTTTGCCTGCAGGCCCCTGACCATATGAGTGGCCTCCTCTGGACCCTCTCCATGCTGTCCACATCCCTCCTGAAGTGCAGCGCCCAGAACTGGACGCAGTACTCCAACTGCAGCCTGACCAGCACTGCATAGAGGGGGAGGATCACCTCCCTGGACCTGTTTGTCATGCACCTGCTAATGCATGATAAAGTGTGGTTAGCTTTACTGATTGCTTCGTCACATTGACAACACATGTTCATCTCGGAGTCAACAGTGACTCCAAGATCCCTTTCCGCTACCGTGCTGCTGAGAAGGTCCTCCCCCCGGCCTGTAAGCGCGCTGCTGAGTCCTCTCCCCAGGTGCAGCACCTTGCACTTGTCCTTATTGAACTGCATCCTATTCTGGTCTGCCCACTTTTCCAACCTGTCCAGATCCACCTGGATTTGTTCCCTACCCTCTGGTGTGTTAACTTGAACCCATCATTTGGTATCATCTGCAAATTTGGACAGAGTGCTTCATAGGCAGCCACTTCTTCTGGACAAGTGTCCTCAGCATCGCAAGAGGGGAGTTTAGGTGTAGTCCATGCTCCTAGTGGGCACCATCCAGGAAGAGTCCTGGTTGGGCCCTGCATGCTTGTGAAATCACTGGCATAAGTACGATGCTGTGTGGGGCGCAGGGGAGGCACCAGCTTCTCCTGCCAGCTCCTCTCTGGCCTGCGGCAGCCCAGAGCAAAGAGGGCCATGCTGTTGTGTGAGGTGGGTGAGTGGCTGCTAGAGGCACAGAGGAGACCTCAGCACACGTTCCCATCTGCAACCTTGGTCAGGACCCGCCCTAGCACCTTCATCTCCAGAGAAAAGCCCTTTGCAGAGACTAAATGCTTAGGCTTGTTCTCTTGGGTCATTCTGATACTCGAGGGGACGGTGCCTTCAGCCCACGCTGTGCTGGTGAGGAGGTACCACATTACCCCCCCCATCCTTAGCTTGTGGCTGGGACCTTCCTGCTGACCCTGCCTGTGTTTGAGCCCCCTCTCCTTTCCCCTCAAAGATGGCACACAGGAGACTATCCAGAACGCCAAGGATGTGGCGGCAAAAGCCAACGAGACAGCAGCCCGGGTGCAGGACACCCTGAACAGCATGAAGAAGAACCTGGATGAGTGGAAGGACCAGTACGGAGACCTCAGGAACGAGGACTTGCACCGGGCAGTGCAGGATGCCAAGAAGTCGGGTGAGTGGTGATGAGGCTGGGCCAGGGGGTACCATCAGGGGCCTCCATGTGAGACCTCTGAGCATGGCTCTCTTCATGAGAGGGTAAAGGTTCGCGCGTAGCAATTAGCAATGTGGGCAGTCAATCCCTGTCTGCCTGCCCTTGGGAGAGAGGCTTGCCTGCACTCTTCCGCCTGTATTTTTAAAGCCCTCTTGTCCCCCCACTGAGCCTTCCCAGACCAGTCCACCTGTCCTGGGGCCTCGCCACCAGCTGCTGCTGCTTTACGGGTGTCTTTGGTGTGCACCTGTGCACCTCGCGGTCCCTCTCTTTGGGTCTGTCTCACGGCCTCCCCACGTCATAGTGTCGAGCTTGGAGAGCACCATCCCGCTGCTGCTGGGCAAGCTGAGCAACCTGGAGAACCGGAGGAACAAGAACGCCACCGTGTCCGAGAACATCATGCGGATCCGCCAGCTCATCACGCAGGCCAGGAACGCTGCCAGCAAGGTATGGACCCGCAGGAGAGGGGCCCGCTGGGATCCCCTGGATGCTGGCTGTCCCGGGATGGTTGGCTGTCTGCCTCGACACAGTTGGCTCAGGCTGACAAACAGGCGGAGGAAGAAATGCGGAGTCTCCGTGATGCTCTCTGTGCTTTTGATTGCCCCGCGGTGGGCTCTGTGCAGCCCACGTCTGTCCCCTGTGGGGCTCCGCGAGGTGCTTCGTGGCGGTCAGATCTGGCCCCGGTTAGCGAATGCCCTCGGCTTTGGTTTCTCCTGCTCCAGGTGAAGGTGCCAATGAAGTTCAACGGGCGGTCGGGCGTGCAGGTCCGATCTCCGAGTGACTTGCCGGACCTGGCAGCCTACACCTCGCTCAAGTTCTACATCCAAAACCCGGAGCCCAGCAGCGCCAGCGCCCGGGCACGGCGCCAGGGTGGGCCCGACGCGGGGCGCTTCGTGCTGTACTTGGGCAGCAAGGAGGTAGGAGCCACCCACAGAAACGCTTCCTTGCGCGGCAGGGAGCTGGCACGCTGAGCTGGAGCAGGGCTATGGCTAGAGGACCCAGCGCGAGGATGGGCATGTGCTGGAGGTGGTTGTGGGTAGCGAGGGGTAACAAGTCTTCCAGCAGAGTGGCTTCCTTGACACTCACTCGTATTCCAACCAAGGAGGGGCGCCAGACGGCGTCCAGCCCCCTGCTTCCTCCTGCCCCTGGAAAGGGCTTTCCCACCCGGGTGCCGAGAGCAGGACGTTTCTGCCCTCACGGAGCAGAGGGCCTTTATCCTCCGTGCGGGCCAAAGGGAGGGGATTGCAGGTGGCAGCAGACGCCCAGTGCCCTCTCCCAGTGCCCGAGATGCTGCTCACTACCAGAGTGCCAGCAGCATCGTGTGTGCCCACGTGCCCCCGTTCCCACTGCCTGAACAGCCCCTCGTGCATGTTTTGCGTTGATCCCATTGCTGACCAGAGCCCGTCCCTCCGACTTGCAAACGCCAGGCCCCGCTGGTGCTGGATCGTTTGGGTTTCAGCAGGAAGGTGCTCTTAGCTTGGCACTGGGTTGCTGTTGGCAGCCTCCGGTGAGCCTGGAAGATTTTGCCCCGGGCAGCACTCTAGGCTGGGAAGCCCCGAGAGCCTCACGGGAAGCTCAAAGCTGATTTTGCGGGGGGCTGTTTGCTCTGCCTTCAGGGCTCTGGAGACTACATGGGTGTCGTGCTCAAAGACCGCAAGGTGCAGTGGGTCTATCGGCTCGGAGACGAAGAGCCCACCTTCCTGACCATCGACGAGGAGATCGGAGAGCAGTTTGCCATTGTCAGCATCAACAGGTATGAAGCCTGGTGGCATTTCCCAGCGAGGGGAGGCGGCAGCGAAGCAAGGGTCGTGCCTGGGATACGTGGAGAGGATGCCATAGGTTGGGCCTTCAGACTGAGCTTCTGGGCTGCAAAAGGCGACTGGGACTGTAGAATGAAATCTCAGATAGAAGAAAGGGACCCAAAATCTCAGATAGAAGAAAGGGACCCAAATGCCCTCTGAGCTCCACAGGCCTGTGGCTATGCGAAGGGGCAGAGGGGCTCTGGAAAGCGGAGGCTTTCCTTGGAGCAGCTCTTTGCTCCTGGGCGCACATCTTCCTTGCTCAGAGCAGAGATCTAAGCAGCTGTGGTGACAGAGGCACTTAGCACAGACCTGTAAAGCCCCAGGTTGCTGTGGGCAAACGGGAGCTGCGGGGTTTGGCTGCCTACATGCAAAGGCAGCGGGATGATTCCTCCTGCTGTAGGTGCGCTACGGTCCCTGGGGTCAGTCTGGCGAGGCTCATGCTGGGGTCTGGGTTCCCGTCCCCTGGCACTGACCGCATGGTCCTGGCCCTGCCTCTCCGCGCACAGGATCCTGCAGTACGGACACATGTCGGTGACCATGGAGAAGCAAACCCTCCACGAGACGAAAGGCGACAGCGTGGCCAAGGGGGAGCAGGGGCTGTTCAACTTCGATCTGCACAGCGTGGTCTTCTACGTGGGTGGCTACCCCTCCAGCTTCACGGTGAGAGGGGCCTCGGGGTCCCGGTGTGTAGTTCTCAGGACCTCTACCAGGGGGGTGGCCTGTGCTGTCACCTCCTCGGGCTCGGCCCACTCCCTGCTCCCCTGAAGGAGGCTTTGCCCTACAGCGAGGATTGTTTCTCCTGGCTCGTGCCCTTGGCAGCCCAGCTGGGGCAGGAGTGCATGTTGGGCTCTGTCCTGAGCAGGCACCAGCCCCCCAGCCGCATGCTGCACTGGTCCGTGAATCCCCTCCCCGGGAGGGTCCTGACTCCCTCCCACCCCGTCCCTGCTGTGAGCTGCACCATGCCCCCATGGCCTCAATCCTGGGTCCTGTCCTCTGCTCCACTCGCCCCTGCTCAAGCACGGCAAGCAGGGCATCTCTGCCTGCGGCCCCCCGCCTAGACGGCTTGTCTCCCGCAGCCGCCGGCCACGCTGCACTACCCTGGCTACCAGGGCTGCATCGAGCTGGACACACTGAATGAGGAGGTGGTGAGTCTCTACAACTTCCACCACACCTTCCACCTGGACACGGCCACCGAGAAGCCCTGCGCAAGGTAAGAGACCCGGCGCTTGGCTGGGAATGGCTCCCGAGGCGGCCCTTGGAGGCCCCTGAAGTGTCACCCAAAGGGCAAGGCTCCAAGCCCCCCTGTCGCCCTGCACAGGTCCAAATCCACGGGCGACCCCTGGCTGACCGACGGCTCCTACTTCGACGGCACTGGCTACGCCGAAATCAGATTTGAGAGCCAGATCGGCTCCACCAAGCGCTTTGAGCAAGAAATGCGCGTTGTCTCCTACAACGGGATCCTCTTCTTCCTGGAGCACGAGGCGAGCACCCGGCCCCTTCCCCACCGTTGCTGGCCCCTTTCGAGATGAGCTGCCCCGGGCAAGGAGTCATAGAGGAGGGCTCAAGCCAGAAACCCCATGGGTGCTGCCATCCCAGGCCTGACCCAGGGCTCGCTGTGCTGCGGGAGCTGCATCAGGCCTTTGCACCACAGAGCCATCGTGGCTGGGCTGGACAGACAGTGTGCCAGCTGGAAGGGGGCTTAGGGGACAGGAGAGGGGTTTGGAGCATGGCAAGGGGTGATTTTGCTTGGGGCCACTGGAGGGCCAGGCCGTCAGCACCCAGACAGCAAAGGGGGCTCCCCTTTCAGTGCTGTTGCATACAAGGAGCCCAGTGAGGCCCGTGCAATGCCAGGTCACGGATGATGCTGGCCGTGGCTTTGTGGGAAGCCCAGCTTCCTTTCCCACCACATCTCTAGGCTCACAGGCCTCCTCCCAAAGTGCTGCCTGCGGCAGCCGTCACCTGCTCCCCAGACCCTGGGGAGTGACGAGAAGGACGGATGGGGATCAGGGTCAGGAGCATGTTCCTCCCCCAGCAGCATGGGTCTCCAAACCCCACAATGGTGGGCAGGGGATGAGGCTGAGTTCGGCTTGCCTTGCCCTCCCCACAGGGCCAGTTCCTGTGTCTGGCGGTGCAGGATGGAAAGCTGGTGCTTTACTACGACTTCAGCGATGGCCTGAAGGTGGCCAAGTCCAGCAACGACCCTGCGTTGCTCACCGTCAGCAGCACCACCAACAAAGCGGTAAGGACAGGGAAGCGCCTGCTCCAGGCTCTGCCAGGCCCCCCGCAACTTGGCACCTGATCCTCCTGCCCTTTGGACAGCCCTGCTCAGCCCCGGGGTGGCTTCTCATGGCAGAGCCTGGCACTGGGTTTTCTGTCAAGACCAGTGCAGGGCTGCTGGCCTCTGATGGTACGAGCCCCCTTTGTAGACCTCTGCCCGGGCACTGCCTGCCTGCGTTTGCAGCCATCGGCTGGGAAAGGCGGCAGCAGTGGGATGAGGCAGAGATGCTCCCACGGGCCCAGGACCTCTGCCTGCCTCTGGGCTCAGTCCCGCTCCCCACCTTGCGAGGATGCATATCGCTGTCACCCTGGGTTTGCAGGTCCAGATCTTCCTGCTCAAAATGGACAACAAGAAGCGCATTCTGGTGCGTCTGGAGCGATTGACCATCTTCATCGTGGAGCACGAGAACTCCCTGGAGAACGCCGTCTCCTACTTCCTGGGCGGCGTGCCCATGTCAGCGCTGCCCGAGAGGTGAGAGGCCCGGGGGGACTAAGGAGGGGGCGCAGGGCAGGAAGGCACATCACCCCCTCTCCTTGCTGCTTGCACCCCCTTCACGAGCTGGGCATGGCACCTTTCTCTGGCCCTGCCAAATGCAGCCTTGGGACCAGCCTCTGCTTACGCGGCAACTTCTCTCCTTCTCCAGCACAGCCCAGGCAGACTCAGGGTTTCGTACTCCCCTTCTCCCCTCTAGGCAAGCCTGAGGTCCCCGGCCTGGGGCGGGAGAGGGCGCTTGCTCCACACACGTCTCCCCTGGCCCACATACGAAGCTGCCTGTGGTCCCCAGGCATGTGTCACAAGTATCCTGCCAGGCTCGTTTGCCATTTCCCTGGCGCAGCCCCAGTCCCACCACAGATTCCTCCCTTTCAGCTTGAAGGCCATCTTCCCCAAGGGCGGCTCCATCCGGGGCTGCATGAAGGGCTTGAAGGCTCTCGGGAAATACGTCGACCTGAAGCGCATGACGACGACCGGCGTGAGCTACGGGTGCACCTCAGACCTCCTGGTAAGTGGAGCCCAGCTGTCCTGGCTGTGCCCTCATCCCTGCCCTGGCATGTCACTCCACACATGTACATGGTGCCTGACCCCGGCGGGCATCCCGGGCAAGGCGGGCTGTCAGGGGGCTCAGAGAAAATATTTGGAGCCTAAGTGGGGTCTCAGAGCCCCTGTTAGAAAATACACACAGAAGTGGAGCTCTCTGTGGGACATTCGTAGATTGATTCATAGACTGATAGATGTCAGGAGCTGGAGGACAGCTGGGGTTAGGTGACCCCAGCGCGGTGACTGTCCAGTCTCCTCTTGAATTGATGGGGCCCGTCACCACCTTGCAGCCCCTCTGTTGTACGGCAGTGCCGTTACCCCCATGCAGAGGGGGAACTGCAGTGCAGAGAGGCGAAGCGACTTGTCTGAGGTCGCGCACAGAGTCTGCAGCCAGGCAGGGAAGGGGAACAGGCTCTCCTGAGCTATACCCATGAACTCATCCGTGCACGGCTGCAAATGCCTGTCGTTAGCCTGCCTCAATGGAGGCTGCGCCTCACTCCACTCTCAACGATGCCCCGCGCCTGCCCCGCTGGCCTGTAAAGGGCCCCCGACCAGAGCAACGGGCTGTGACTGTCCTCGCCCGCTCTGTCAGGTGGCGCGCTCGGTGAAGCTCCACGGCCACGGGTACCTGACGCTGTCTCTGAAGAACGTGCCTCCGCTGCAAGACTTCTACACGGGCTTCAGCTTCCGCACGAGCCAGAGCGACGGGCTGCTGTACTACCACGCCACCGCGGTAGGCACCCCATCCGTCCCGGCGCTGTGACTTCACGTGTGGGGGGGGGACTCATGCCTGAGCCCTTTAGGAGGGGGCGCTGCAGATGTGCTCGTGCTGGGCAGGGCTGCAGAAGGGGAAGGAGGAACCAAGGTTTCTGCTTCTTTACTCCCTTCAAAAGCCAACGCTGCGAGAAGCCAAGTGTTCTCGACCCCACCTGTGACCGTCACGTGTGCTGAGACACGAGGTCTCTGTGCCTCAGTAACAGCCCAGCTGGGGGATCTCCAGACTGGAGATGCAGTGGCATTGGAGACATCGGCTTCTGCTGTATTTCTTAAGCCCATGGCAAGGGGGCTGTGTTTCTCCACAGCCAGGGTGGGCAGACACGATGGTTATGCTAGTGTTATTATTGGGGAAGGGGTTCTGCTGCAGCTGCGACAAAGCCAGGACCCTGCTTCATTCGGGGTTAGCAGCTGATGTGCACCCCCAAGCTGCATGTCCTTCCCCTTTTTAAAGTGGGAGAAGACTTCATCTGTCCTCAGCCGTCCTTTAGCAAAGCTGGGAGGGGAGGGCAGAGCAGAGAGGGCATCTCTGCCTTCCAAGAGGACTGTTGGTTGTGCACATCTGCCCCACTCTGGCATGTGTTTGGGAGCAATGAAATCCTCCCCCAGCCCCCTGGCCTGGGGAGCTGAATGCCAGCGGGTCTGTATCTGTGGCTGGAGATAGACCCCCCCCCCGACCCCAGATGCGGCCCAGCGGAGGTCACATCACCCCAGTGATACTGTTCTCCTCGCTGCAACCTGCGCAGCCGGCGTGGCCCCCGGGAAAACTCCCTCCGGCAGGGAGCATGGTCCCTTCTCTCCCTACTGCCGGATAGTTACCGCGGGCATGTGGGGGGCATTGGTCCTTTCCCCTCAGGAAGGAAAGTGCCAGGTATCCCTGAAGAGCGGCCAGCTCGCCCTGGAGGTGCTGAAGACGGCGCTCACCACCCAAAACACCTACGCGGATGACAGGAGCCACTACATCGCCGTCTACAGTGATGCCAGTGGGTAGGTCCCGCAATGCTGCCAGGGAGGTGGGGGCCAAGGGAATGGCCTCGCCCCAATCTCCTGCGGCCTGGGGAGGGGGCATCTCAGCCCCACGGCTCTAGCCTTCTGCCTTTAATGTGCCCCGTTCCCTCTGCAGGGTCCGGCTGTACGTGGACGACGAGCTTCAGGAGGCTGCGCAGGCAGCCGAGGGCGCCAGCAGGCAGGGGCTCCAGGAGGAGCAGCTGCGCTTCCAGCTGGGCGGTTTGCCGGAGACCGGCGCCCTGAGCAACCTGACGGGCTGCATCAGGAACGTCTTTGTGAGGCGGTGAGTGAGGCCAGGCAGGCTGCAGCCTCCACGCAGCACAATGCCTGGGCTCTGGGACCCCCCCCAGCTCCCATGCCCAGCTGCCCTCTCCTGCACTTCCCGCCTGGTGACCCTGATCCAGTGCCCCCTGCCAGGAGCCAGAGCACCATCCTGCAGCGCTCGCCCCCATGGAGCCCCTTCTCTGTGCCACAGGAAGTCGGACCCGCAGATGGTCGTGGACCTGCAGCAGAACGTGGAGAGCTTCAACGTGACCATGAGCTGCCCCCGGGACCAGCAGCCCCAGCAGATGCGAGTGTCTCCCAAGAAGGACCGGCGGAAACTGAAGGTGCCCCGCGCTCTTCCCACTTGCCCCATCCCGCCACAAGGCCCAGACAATGCCGAGGCCTGGAAATGGGGCAGGGTGAGGGAAGCCCCATGGTCGTGGCAGTGCTCATGGCCATGGCTTCCAGCCGTCTCGCCCCGTGGCATCCTGCTGGACAGGGAGGTGCATCTCCCAGCCCTACATCTCCCCACTGACCCCAGCCCAAGCCGCCCTACTCAGCACAGAGGCTTTGCAGAGGCTGGTGGTGCTCAGCATTGCAGAGCATCATCCCTCAACTTTCCCACACGTCACGGTCACTCCCCGGGGGGAGGCTGGCTGGAGTCACTGCCATTCTCCCCTGCATGGGCCCATTTTGATGCTGCTCTCCAGCATGAGGGGGCTGGCATTGCTGGGGAGAGGGCGTGGGGTCCTCGGATGGAGCCCGTGGTCCTGAGAGCCCAGGTCTGCGCTTCCTCCCATCCTAGGGCCTGGGGCAGCGCAGCGGGTCGGGGCTGGTGTGCAGTGGTGAGCAGCTCCCGCGGCTTTGCCTGGGACTGACCCTATCACCTCCCTTCGGTCTTCTTCCAGGGGCCAAGCAGGCCAAGCAGGCTGGCGCTGAAAGGCCGCCGGCAATCCCAGGAGATGACTTGCCTGTTACCCCGGCACCCCCGGGCAGTTAGAGGGGCCTTCCAGTTTGGAGGCTCCTCCACGAGCCGTCTCGAATTCGACGATATCCCTGAATCCTTCCAAGAAAAGTAAGTCCTGGCTCCTTGCTCTGCCAGCGCGTACAGCACCGGCCTCAGCAGCGCTCCCACGGGCTGTGCTGTGGACCTGCCGGGCAGCCTGGGGCAAGCCCCTCTGGGCCAGGGTTGGGAGGTGTTGCAGTGCCTGAGTATGTCTCGGGATACTTTGTGCCTAACTCCCTTTGGCTTGGACCTCGGGGAACATGGTGTCGGGCAGAGGAGTCTGGTTGCTGGTGCTGGTAGTGGCGAGGGAGCAGAGTTGCCCCAGCCCCACACCCAGGAGCCCCTCGCTGCTTGGCTGCAGGTCCTACTTCTCTGTGGAAGTGCGGCTCAATGCCACCAGCGGGCTGCTGTTCTACGTGGCCGGCGAGCAGCCGGGCTCCTTCATGGCCGTCCTCATCTCCAACGGGCGCTTCGTGCTCCTGGCAGACCTCGGCGGGAACAAGCTGAGAATCCAGAGCAAGGACAAGTACCACAAGAGCAGGTGGCACACGGTGAGCACAGGGAACCGGTCCGGGCTCCCCTTTCTAGGCCTGGCAGGCTACAAGGGAAGAGCAGAGAGGGACACCCTGGGACGCCACGAAGTTACAGGAAGCTAGGCTGGGGCAGGAGACGGGGAGTCCTCGCCCTTGTGCCCGTGGGGACGTCGCACTCCCCCGTGTCCCTGCTGTGTGCACCATGGCAGCGTCTTCCAGCTGAGACTCTGCCTTCAGGGGCTCCTGAACCGAACCCCTGCAGCCTGGGCGCTGGGCACGGGACCATGGTGTTGGGACAGGGCCACATCTCAGCTCCCTCAGGCTGCAAAACCTAATCAAGCAAAGAGTTGTCAGCGCCTCTGGTCCCAGCCACAGGAACAGCCCTATCGATGTTGGCCCCACGTGGCAGCATCGCAGACATGCAGCTGCGTGCACGGCGCTGCTGAAGGCAGATGTGATTGCACGTGGTCAGGAAAGCAAGCGGTCCCAGCTGCCTCCTGCAGGGTTTGCTCTGCGGCCTTGTGTTCGCCCTCCCTTCAGCCCCATGCCCTGCTCTTTTACCCCTTCCCAGCAGCTTCTGCACCCCTCCACCCCCAGGACAAGGCTGGCAGCCTGTGGGCACGTGTGTTCTGGCCCTGGCCACTGCCTACGGGGCAGTGCATGACTCCTGTTTGTTGCAGGTCTTCTTCAGCAGAGACGGGCGCCGAGCTCAGCTGGTCATCGATGGGCTGAAGGCCCAAGATGCCACGATGGCCACGGCTGGTCGGTTCCTGGCCCGAGGCCCCTTCTACATGGGGGGAGTCCCTCCAGGGACAGCCAAGGCTCATGTCTGGGTAAGGCTGCTGGCACGCTGTGGGGAGCAGGCGCCTGCCAGGCAAGACTAGGGGACCTGGGTGGCAGCTTTGCCTTCCCTGCCACTGGGCGCAGAGAGCCAGCCACAGCCTTGCAATGTAGCCTCGCTCACGTGGCCGAGAGGAGCCCAGCTCTCCTGGGTGCAAAGGCACAGAGGCCTCACGAACCACAGGACCTATGGGAGAGCATCTCCCAGCCAGGCAGGGCCTTTGCCGCTGGGAACCTGCCCCCAGGCAGCCACTTGGTGCCCATGGCGGTGCCAGCTGGCTCCATTCCCCTGTTGCGGCTCAGCTCAGCTCCCCTCTCTGATGGGCTGCAGAGAGCTCTCAGCACCGGCACTTCTTCCCTTGCACCAGCTGGCTGATCCCTCCTAGCAGGTAGCCTGATTTCTTTTGCTAAGACCTCAGACGCCAATCAGCTGGGCAGGGCTAGTAGTATCTGTGCCCCTCCTGCCCCTACCATGCACTGACTCCACCACCATCCCTCTTGTCCTAGGACACACCCATCACCAGCTTCAGTGGCTGCCTGAGGAACCTGAAGCTGGACGGGCACCCGCTGCCGTCCCCGTCTCGCACCTTCGGCGTCACCCGCTGCTACGAGGGGGCTCTGGAGAGCGGCGTCTACTTTGCTGCAGAGGGTGGACATGTGACTCTAGGTACCCTACTAGGGGCTTTGCCCCCCACCCATCAGCTGTGCTGCCTTAGGTGGGCTGCTCCCTGGAGAAGGCAGACCCTCCTCGCTGGGGGCAGTGCCCACTGACAGCTGTCCTCTTCCCCCCAGCCAATGCAGTGACACTCGAGCGGGACATGTCCCTAAAACTGGAGGTACGTCCACGCAGCGCCGCTGGCCTCATCTTCCACATTGGCAGGACAAGGTCATACCTCTCCCTGTCCATGGATGACAAGAAGGTACCGTGGGCCAGGGACCACAACCCCCTTGCCTTCCCTCCCACTGGCTCCATGGGGCAGCGGGGGTTGGGTTTGGAGGCCTTGAAACACTTTGAGGTGACTCTGCCCAGATCCAGCTCTGCCCCTGTATGGGGTAGGGCACTGCACGCGCTGCATGCAGGGTCTGCAGGGCTCTTGCTGCATCCCAGGGGCCTTCGGTGCCCTCTGCTCCACAGGTGTCTCCTCCCCTCCCTGCGGGCAAGAAGCAGGTCTGTCCTGGGAAGAAAGGGCCCCCTCCTTTTTCCCCACATTGTCTCTGAAGGGGAGAAGGGACAAACTTCTCCCACAGAGAGGGAAGAGGAGCCACAAGGCCCCAGGCTCGGCAGTGTTCATGGGGGCTTTCACCCCACCGAGCAGCTTTGCCCACATCCCACAAGGTGGGCAGGTGGAGGGTGCGGGTGTTTCCCAATCAATGTCCTGCAATTAAAGCAAGCCCCACCCAGCTCTCCCATCTCCCCAGGGAGCCCGGCAGGCTCTCACCACTGCTGTGTTGTTCCCTTAGGTCCTGCTGAAAGCAAACAATGGGGCAGGGGAGTTCTCCACGTGGGTGGCCCACCCGCCATTGTGCGATGGCCAGTGGCACACCATCACAGGTGAGAGACGGCAAGTCTGGGACCGCGACTGGGGCTGGAGCACTAGAGCCTCCATGTTCCTAATAGTGGAGCTGCTCCCTGGCACAGGCAGTCCCGGCCTCCAAGGGACTTTAGATGCTCCATGTGCCAGGGGGCCCATCCCATAAATAGCAGCTTTCTAGCCCCCAAAGTGGCAGTTTTGGCCAGTTTCTCCTGCATAAGTACATGAAAGCAGCTGGAGCCCCTGCAGCGGATGTTGCACGGCCTGGGCACCCGCGTGCATACCCCAGGGCACAGACATGAGAGGAGGGTTTCTGCATAGGAGTCATTTAGGCCCCTGGCTCAGGAAACAAGAGCCATAGGCACAGGCTCCTCACCCAGAGGGAAGCAAAACCTGTGTCTCTAACTGCCCAGCACCAGGGTTTTTACCTGCATGCCACAGATCAGGCACAAGCCAGGCCAGTCTCCAGCCCTCCCTTTGAAGTGAGGCTGCACTGGGCAGCCACGTGTGAAGCCATGGGATATCCATGGGGCAGGAGGAGAGTCACAGTTACAGAGGCTGTGGTGCAGGGAGCAGGCTGCAGCGGAACAGGTCCTGGGCTGTATTTTAGCTGTTGCTCCCACTGGTCAGAGGCTGGTCCCCAGCTCCTTTAGTCCAGGACTTAATGGCTGGGTGCAGGTCAGCTTTAAAAGTACTGGAGAAAGCCGGCTCTGCGCCTCGCTGGTCTGGACGAGTGCCTTCACCTGCTCTGCCATGAGGGCTAACCTGAGAGGGTTCTTTCCTTTGCTCCTGCCTGGCTTTTTCCAGAACTTGCACTCATCTACCTACCTACCTACCCCCCCCCACACACACGTTCCCAGCCAGCGCAAAGCATCCTTCCTGCACTTGCTCAGTCCACGCACACATGCTTACCAGCCTCAGCACAGCCAAACACTAGGCATGAGGCTGCAGGACACACCAATGCTAGTGGCCCTGCAGCCTGGGTGCATGGCAGGGGCTGTACTCATCTGACATTGCCCTGCCTCTATCATTGATAAAACGGCCGCAGCAAAGCTCACTGCTGCTCCAAGTGAGGACCCCAGCAGTGCTGGAGCTGCCAGGAGCCTGCTGAGACCACAGTGAGCCGCTTGCGTGCCTGGCCCTGACACTGGGGTGCAAGGAAGCCATGCCCCTTACTAGTGCTTCACTGGCACCTGGGGGGAGGGGGTGTCTTGCCTGCATGGATGAGGTGCAGTCCTCTGCAGGGAGAGAAGGGGCTGGCTCCTGGCTGAGCTGCTTTCTCCGCAGTTCCAGCTCTCTAGGAAGGGCTCTCAGGGCCCCAGCTACTGCTTCAGTCACTGCTTGAACACCAGTTGCAACCCCTGACCTGTTCTGGTGTGAAAGCAGCCGAGGAGACCAGACCCAGTGTGGAACTAAACAAGTGTGAAGCCCTGAGAGCAGAGTAGGGGAGGTGGGAGGCTTTGGCCAGCTCCTGCAGCACAGAAGTGGCACTGACTGCAGCTTTCTTTCTCAGTCACCAAACAGAAAAACAGGATCCAGGTGGCGGTGGACAGAGTTGGGAACACCACAGTGGGACCCAAGCAGACCCACTGGGCAGAGAGCAAGGAGCCCTTGCACGTGGGGGGAATGCCAGGTGAGTCCCCAGAGCTCCCCAATGTTGATTGCAGGGAGTCTGGTTGTAGGTGGCACTTAGTACCTAGCAGGTGACTCAAAGACGAGCCCACTGGTGCCTTCTCCATTTTCATAGTGGAGCTAAACCCAGCTCCCTTTTCTTTGCCTTTCTCCTCAACTGACCACTCTGTCTGCTGATCTTGGGCACTGGTGGGGCCAGGGACAGTTGTTGGGAGGTCAGACACAGACAGACAACACTGCCTTCTTTCCCGCTTGCTGCAGTAAGAAACGCTCAGTTTTTGCCCTTTCTGCAGAAACAGCCAAGCTGGGCACTGCATCGCCCTCGCCCCCAACTCCTCTCCCCCATTACATTGGCTGCATAAGGAACCTCGTGATAGACCAGCACCTCATTGACCTGCCAGGCACCGCAACTGTCAGGGGCTCAGTCGGCCTCAGGGGCTGCCCCGTGCTGTAAGTACAGGTGCAGCCAAGTGCAACATCTGAACTGCAAGGAGCTGTACTGCTCCCCAGGACGTGCTGGCTCTGTGGTGGGACCCAGCAGCCCCCAACATCGTCCAGTACTAGCTGCCAGGCACACCCAAGTCCAGGAGCCATGGAGCAAGCCTGCCACTAGAAATCACGGGCCAAAACCACCATTTTACTTAGGGACATTTCAGGTATCAGAACCTTGCAGACACCAGAAGCCATTTAAAAAGGATGGACGTGAGGACATGGCGCTCAGCATCAGACACATCCCACTCCTGGCACCACATGCCTCACTGCCTGGCCCAGTCACCGACCAGTGCCCATCCGCTCACCCACCACCCGCTCTGGCCTTTGTACCTGGTTTGCTACATAGTGCCAAGAGCTCCGAGGAGGAAAACTCAGCTCATACTTCACAGACTGTCAAACAAACTCTTGCTTTGACTGTTTACGTTGAGGAGACGGGCCCCATTGGTAAAACAGGGCCTGGGGTAAAGATCTGCTGTATGAAGTCATGAGCTGCTGCTTGCAGGAAGCCTCACACGTTTGTAGCGTTTCAGTGATGAACCTGGCTGTTTACCGTCTCTGTCACTCTCCTGCGGTGTCACCTCTACTTTAACTCCCACTGTAGTAGAGCAGCTTTCCCCCAGGCCAAGCCACCTAGTTCACTTGTGCACTTACACATCCTATATATATTTGTGTGTAAATATCTAGTCACATGGGGACAAAATCTTGCTTCTGAAATGGATTTATAACTTATATCATTATATTGATTTTTTTTATGAGGGGTAAATATTGTAAAATGGGTTTTTAACAATGTCTTTATCTTTAAGCAAAATGTAATTATGACCTGTTTTTAACTGTAGCATTAAAAGATGGTCTTTGTAAATCACTGGTACATACTTTTGAGTCAAATAAAACTTGATGTTATATTCTCATTGAATATAAGCCATGGCAGTGCCCCTCACACCTACTTCTGTTTAGGGCTCTGAAGAGGACAACAACCTCTAAGGCTGCATCCAGATGAGCACAGATGTTCACTTCCCAGGCACAAGTGGCAGCACTGCTGCTACTTGTCAACAGGGAACACTTGTGCCACATGCGCTCTGGTGCACAGCAGGTTACACCAGGTGGGGAAGGGGAGGATGGCCCCAGAAGCCTTACCTGGGGGCCTCCTGGGGCTGCAGCCATGGCAGGAAGCCTAGCTGGCAGCTGGAATGTAGCTCCAGCTGGCCGGCTTCGGGGAGCTCATGCTGCCACCCCACAATTTTTTCGGCATGCGGTGTGTGGCGCTGCAGAGGGGTCTGCAATGCCACATACCAGACGTTTGTGCTCATTTGGACATGGCCCAAGTGAGCTGCTACATGAACTTTCAGTGTCCAGTACATCTACTGCTTTGCCATCATTTGCAGGTTTAACCTTGGAAACAATCACAGCAGCAGTGTCCTTATGTGCCAGAGGGGCTTTTTCTAACACCAGTTTCAGAAACTGACCTGGCATGTGGGCCTTCGTTTTGATGTGATGTGCCTGAGAGGGGATGTCGTTCACTTAAGAGCTTCACTGATACTTGCTTTGGATCACATCTGCTTGCCCATTCTGGGCATCTGAAACAACACCCAGACCAACAGGCTAGACTAGTTACTACAAGCTGTGAATGGGAGTAGCCAAGACTAAGGCTTCGATTCTGGGCTGACCTGCAGCACCGCACTAAAGCTTTGCTGGCAATAACAGTAAGCATTCAAGACCTAGAAGTGGACAGAGAAAATCTAAATCAAGTGAGAAAAACCCATATGGCAGATAAAAGAAAAACCCTTTATTTGTAGATTTAATATAAGCATAATATGAAGTTAGTCTGTAATTCTACTGAAGTTGCTTAAGTTAATATCTAGGAATATCCATATGGGAGCAGCAAATAACTTAATCTAAACTCATATCTTCCTCTTCATCTTTCTTGTCCTTTGATTCTCCCTCCTTTTGGTCTGATTTGACACTGTTCTGCATTGCTTTGGCAAATGCTTCTACATCTATAAATTAAAGACAGCAGTTAGGCTTGCTTCCAAGTCCATGGACAGGAGCTGCACTTCATATACAAGCTGTGTACCACCATCCCGTGACAAATGCATGGCAGCAGAACCCCTTTTGCTGAGGCCAGCAGCTAAGTGAGTTTTGGAGAACACCTGGCATCTGGTTCCAGCCTAGATTCCCTTTGCACTCAGTCAGCAATGCTGCGATGCTCCGAGATATACTTACCGCCTTTGTTTGCTGCGTCGACCGCCTCAGCAGGTAAGCCAAACTGACTCATCAGTGGGCCAAGCTGTCCTGAAGCTAAGGCAGCGCTGAACATGCTCAATGCCTGTGAACCAGAACAGTGATAATAGTCACGCTGCAGGAGCAACATGCAGGCTCCCAGTGGCTACTTCACACCAATCATCTTCCCCTTGTTTCCTAGCCGCACGTCATTTCCATATCACAGTAACAGTGGACTTGGGACCTAGCAGGAAAGCCCCCATTCATAAGAACATGAGTGGGCTCACTGCTGAGTAGGCTCTAAACTTGCTCTTCATGCCCCAAAGCTGGGTGTGCTGAGTAACACTCCCCCATTGCTAAGGCCAGGTCTATGCATGTGGAGGCACTGGTTCATTTAACCTGAAGTTCCTTTAAAAAGTGACTATTGCTTTAGGTTTAGATGAGCCCCCTGCGCTTTGTATTAGCCTCCTAAGAGCTGAGGCCAACTTCAACTGCAAGTCCCTTACCTGAAAGTGGCTGTGCATATGCTAGCTCTAAGGGCCCTGCCCGTCTATGAAGGTACATAGGGGCCTGCAGTCCCTGACTGCATCTTCCCAGTTAGATTAGAGAGAGAAGGGGACAGCCCAGTCACAAGTAAGAAAATGGAGGGGTTTAGACCACACTCAGGCTAACAGAAGTGGACAATAAACATCCAAGGCATTGAAGTTCCTATGCAAAAAGTTCCAGCAACCTCATGCTGCTTTCGATGTAGCACAGCATTACAATAGCAGGTTTGAACTTACTGCTAAAAGGCAGTCATATAGAGAGGAGGTGGGAGGGCTGGTGCTAGAGAAGCGATAGGGAGGAAGCCCCTACACTGGTCAGTGTGATCCCTACCTGCTGAAACTGAGGCGATGTCAGAGTGTTCTGAATCTCCTCCGCAGTCTGTGGCAGAGATTCTCCTGACGGAAGATAAGGCAACAATCGCTCCTGAACTTCTGCGTTTGCCAGGATGGGAGCCATTATTTCAGGAGTCAGCACAGTAGCCAAGTCAACTGTAAAAGAATAAAACTCTGTTAGCTGAAGCCCAGAACAAGCTTAGTTACAGTAGCTAGAGGTACTGGCAGTTCAGTTTCAGGACGTGAGTGGACCCCAACCCCACCCCCCGCCCCCCTACACACACACATTGTCCCTGGGGCAGCTGTAGCTTCAGTATTTACTTGCAGTGCATTACAGCTTAAGAGAAAAGTTCTCAAACCAATCAGGAGGGGCCTGGAACAGACAGCAACTTCAAAGAAGATATGACATGAGACACTGCTCACCCTGCTGACCCCCTGCTCCAGATGGTACATTCATAGTGGCTAAGATGTTCTGAAGGTCACTCAGTTGAATGGGTTGAGTTGGGCTTGCTGCCGAGCTGGTTCCGTTTCCCGAACTTGGCACAGGGCTGGGACTGGTTACAGAGGCAGCCGCAGGGGCAGACGGGGCTGGTGTGACACGTGTAGAAGAAGAAGTAGTGGAAGATGGTGTCACAGCAGCTGATTGGCTGCGAGAGCTAGAAGCACAAGTAGCATTATTGACTCGGTGCAAGAAACAGTTCCTTCACTTGTTCATAAGCAGCTTTTAATCAGGCCCCTGCAGTAAACTACCTTTACACTTACGAGGAGTTACCGCTCCATCTGACACAAGCAAGGAGCAGCTTGGGCTCCCACGGTTCTGTTTAATCATTTGACCATAAAGCCTCCCAGCTAGAGGAAAGAAACATCACAGAAGCACTGTGGAAACTCATTAGAAATTCACTGGCACCCTACCTTGATGATGAGCTGCTGGTTGGCGGTCCCCCACTTCCCAGTAAGCTGGCCAGACCAGGACCAGTCAGCGCACCAAGCCCACCTTCCACGAGATGGAAAGACACAGTTAGAAGCAGCGGTTCCTCCCCTCATTAAAAATAGCTATGTGGCTAGGTTTGACTCAAGCTCACTTAAAAGCAACATTTATTTTGCTCCACAGTGGAGAGGCTACTCCTATCTCTGCAAGTTTCACTTGCTAGAATGATACAAAAGGCCGAGTAGAAAAACCCACTTCCCCCTTATGCAACCAGCTTCCCCCTTCTGATGTTAAGGCTTCCCTTGGTACAATTCCCTGATCAGAGCTGCTTGTGCTTTTCACCAGCTCAGGTCCCAGACATGTACCACATGCTGGCCAAATGCTGCATCAGTACACGTGCCCCTTGAGGTGGCTCCTAATACCAAGTCCAACTGCTGTGGACACTTCCAGCACCTGTATTCTGACGTTCAGCCGTCTGAAACTAGTTACAACCTAGATGTCACAAGAACAGTGCTCCATCAGCACATGCACAAAGGGCTGGAACTAGTGAATAGCATGGGAGAGGTCAGAGGAGGTAAAGCCACTTTTTCCTCTACTCTGCAGAATGCACCCAGCAGTAATAGACCATGTCCTATACCTCCCCTAGTCCCTGATCACACTGATCCCACAGCAACAAAGCAAAACTAATAAGGCCAGCACCACCTTTCACTACACTGGGACCACCTCAGCTGGGCAATTCAGGTAAGGGTGGCAGTGAAGGAGTACCCCAAGGGAGATGTGCAAACCAGATGCGAGAGCACGAAATCCCACACTTCAGGCTGGCACTCCTTACGCTAGCAGGGGCTGAGATCCATGCCAAAACCAGATGCTCACCACCTGCACAAGCCCCTTGCCTCTCCACGCAGGAAGTTCATTAGCGCATCAGGCCCTGACACTGAGGGACGTGAGCACCTTGCTTCAACCTGAGCTATTCTACACTAAAAACAAAGGCCAAGGAAAGAAGAGACCAATGTCAAATAAGGAAAAAACGTAAGAAATAAGAAATCTTAGAGATCTCCTCTGGGCCCTCAGAGAAGACAACAAAGCCGCCTCTAACCTCCCATAACTCAAGGGACTCAACTGCTCACCAGGGTTTAAATACCATCCTTGACAGAAGAGGATTCAAAACTACGTTGCTGGCCTGCCCGGAGAGAGGGCCCTATTCAGGCCCTAAGCTATTCTGGGCCAAACATACTCTCAATCCCTCCTGGTAAAGTGGTTCCATCTTGCATAAATAATTAAGGGTTCAGTCAGAGAAAAAAGTGCGCCACAGCCAGGGGATCGGGGCATACACCTGGGAGGGGGAAGCTGGGCCCCAGTCCCTGCTCTGCTGAACACTTACAAGACACAAATAGCAAAACAGTCAGTGGGGCAAAGACCAGAAAACAAAGCTCCCTTGTGGATCGATCCCCAGAGAAGCATGTGCCAAGTACAGCTCATGGCTGCTTTGTTTCTCGTCTCCTCACCCTATTTCTGAGGCAGACACAGGAAGGACCTCGCCTCCTCACACAAAGGCAGTGCTATTCAAAGTCAGTGGCATCACATGAAAATATTCAGCGTCAGGTAAGATGCAACCCAACAGGAGAAAGCACTATGTTGGCATAAAGATATGAAAGCTTTTTACCAAGTCCTCCTAAGCCCGTTGGTCCAATCAGCTGCATGAGCTGGTTATGGCTCATGTTTCCCAGAAGGCTTTGCAAGCCACCCTCACCTAAAAACAAAAACATTCTGAAACAACATATTCACATGGTTTTTCACAGCCCTCCGGCTCGAACAGCTGGAGGTTAACTGGTATCATTTGGCATGGAAAAAACAGTTGCAAGCGTTTACTAATTCAAGATGCTCGTAAGAGACAAACGCAGCTTAGTTTCGGAGGCAGGACTCCAGAGACGTTTTCCTGCAAGCAAGCTGGGTTTCCTCTTTTGACCGGCAGCACATTTAGTTGTGCTCGCGTCTCCCCTGCTGCCCCTCCAAGCTCGCCAGGGATTTGCTCCGAGAAAGCTGCAAGTTTGTATTTAAGAAAAAGCCTCTCAACTGAGGGGCAGAGAACGGGCCTTACCTCCCAGCGCCGAGAGCTCATGGCCTCCCGTTGCATTCCCGCCCAGGGCCCCGGGCATTGGGGGGTTGTTCAGGTACTCATTCACTTTACGGCAATGCTCTTCGTCTTTGTCCGTCTTCGGCTCCTGGAAGAAAAGGTGCTCTTCAAGACGGGCCCCACCCCCGCCCCCGCCCGTTCCCGCATACCCTGTTCGTGGCTGGTGCCTCCTCGCAAACCTGCATCCAGAAGAAGAGCCGCTTGGATCCCGCCTTGAACTTGAGCACGTAAACGCGGCCTGTCGTGCACTGCGGGACCCTCTTGAACTCGCAGTCGTCGGGGAAAATAATCAAGTCCTACCAAAGCAGGTGGGGGGGGGGGGAAAA